TAACTTTATAAGGTTTTTTTCAAGAGAAAGAGGCAAATCAAAGAAAACAAAGTGAAATAATCAAAATTGATTAAATACTCCACAAACTCCAAGATTTATACCACTGTTAGTCCAAATTCATTCCTCTTTCTATACCTCCTCCGTAGACTGCGTCTTTACTTCCATGGTCGCACATAATGAGAATTGGTACTTGAGGTTTTAGAAAGTTTTAAAAAAATATCATTTCAGAAAGAATTTTCTGTTTGGCTTAATTGACCCTCAGATTTCAGTTAAGCAGAATTAATCTTTTCTAGAATATCCCAGTTCATCAAATTTGACTTTCTTTGAACTGAATTTGATCTTTCTTCTAAACATCCATTGTGTGCCCACACTGTATAAAGAGATGAGTAGAATCAAGGCCAAGTGTCCTTCTAATCCAAAAGTTCTTGTTTTTCCTAGTAGCACTGTGTTTCCCCGTCCTCTGAATAATTTGGATATTCAAGCAAAAACAGTTTGGTTTGTTTAAGTTTTATTTGTTTTTTCAATAAGGACTGTATTAAATTACGCAGAAATTAGCTGATTTGAACATTTCATTTTTTTGTTTTTTTTTGTGAGGAGATCAGCCCTGTGCTAACATCTGCCAATCCTCCTCTTTTTTTGCTGAGGAAGGCTGGCCCTGGGCTAACATCCGTGCCCATCTTCCTCCACTTTACGTGGGACACCGCCACAGCATGGCTTGCCAAGCAGTGCGTCGGTGTGCACCCAGGATCCGAACTAGCCAACCCCAGGCTGCCGCAGTGGAGCGTGCACACCCAACAGCTTGCATCACTGGGCCGGCCCCTGAACATTTCATTTTAATTTTGCAATTATGGCTTGTTGAATGGAACTTGTTTTTACACTTGCAAGATCAAGGAGAAATTAAAGAGAAAAACACAGATCATTTAAGTCAGCAAAGAACATGGCCAGGACCGTTCTTTATCGTTTTTCATTTTAAAGTGGCAACTAGCAAAGCACATGGCATGTGATTGGTCACGTGCTGTCAAGTTGGCTCCTACACCTGGCGACCCTATGAATGAGTGACATCCATAATGTTCTGTCCTCAGCTCCTGTAGACTCATGCCTTTGGCTGCCTTTATGGAGTCAATCCATCTCATATTTGGTCTTCCTCTTCCTGCTGCCTTCTCCTTTTCCCAGCATTCTTGTCTTTTCCAAAGAACCTGCATTCTCATGGTGTACCCAAAGAAGGACAGCCTTGGTTTTGTCATTTTTGCCTCCAGTGATAGTTTAGGCTTAATTTGCTTTAAGACCCACTTCTTTGTCTTTCTGGCATGTGATACACCGTCAATAAACATCTGTTGAATAAATTCACAAAAAATTGAATTTGAAACAAAGATAGGGGTTCTTTACAAACATTTTAATGATTGGTTTTGTTGTAATGGTGGATGGTGATAACGGCAATGAGGTGACGGGGGTCCTGATTTCAATAACTTATTTGAAATTTGACTCCCTCTCTATTTCACACCTTCACTGTAGAAAAAGTCTTTATGTCAACTTCACTTTTTCTAGGGAAATAATATAGTTGTATTATTTAAAAAGTATATATTTTGCTAAAGGACTTATTATAATTCAAAGGAGATTTTAAAAATTAAAAGTAGCCTGGAATATCTACTATCTGAAAAACAGATATAATGGTAAATGTATATATAGTTAAATACCTGTAGCTAAGACCTATGCTGCTTAGTGACCCTCTGCTATAAAGATGCTTCATGTGTGACATTAGGGACAGACATGCACTGCTTAGGGTGACCATTTTATCTGAACAAGGCCAGGAATACTGACAGGAACAACTGATTCCTCAAGGAGAAACCAAATCTCCTGATGAAAAACCTCATTGAAATGTTTGTTTCAAATGCTTCTGTTCCATCGTAGCTGGAAGAATTTCTCAGACAAAACATTAAATTAGAGGTTAATTAAGAAAGCCAAAACAGTCTGACTCCCTTTACTCCTGTTTTAATGTGGGATTTGGAATGGCTGAGGGGCTGCAAGTCATGTGTGGGTCCTTAGAATTCTGAACATCTCCCCCCCGTGTGACAGTTAGGTGAACTTTGAAAAATCTAGAGCCTGAACAACCATCTTTCACCTTAAGAATGAACTTTAGAACACAAATCTCGAGGAGGAAAAGAGAAAGTTTTTAGATGGAATAATTTTAGCAGGTGGAGACAGTGGGGTTTCACTCATATGAAGACCCTGAGATGGAACTGCTGTGGGTTTAATTCACTGTGCTGTGTGTGTGCATGCATGTGTCTATTAGCCACTTCAATAAAAAATGACATGTTTTCTCTTTGACACTGTCACGGAGGAAAAAAAGGTTAAATAACATAGTACACTTAAAAAACCTAACTGTCGACATTGAATCAAGCAATCATTGCTATCTCTATTTCAGGAAAATGGATTTTTGTGAAACAGGGGCAGACGTATGGACAAAGTATGGTGTATTATATATTCTGAAAAACGTTTTTCAAATAAATTTTAAGAAAAAAATCTGAGGCAGGGTAAATATACCTTCTACTCTTTTTTAATGAAATTCCTCACACTTTTCTAAAACGCTTATCCTTTTATGTAGCACAAAACATTCTAGATGGCTATAGCTTTTATTTTAAAATAAAAGTTCGGGATTATGTAATTAAATGTGAGGGCATTTAAGTCCTTTTTAAGAGCTAAGCAGCTGTAGACAAATCTATGTTTGACTTGTAAGAAAGTCTTTTTAATAAAAAATAGGGACATTAAATGTGTGCTCTTCTAAAGTGATGTCAGCATAGCACCCTTGGCCTGGACGGAGGCTGGTGGGTTATGATAGGATGAGAGAAAGCCATAGGACGCGGTTCTTTAAAACACCTGCATCCTGCCTGCTAGAGATCAGGAATCACCAGCAGACTCGTGGAAGTTCTAATTATATAGCTTCATAGCTCCCAGATAAAGAGCTTTATTGATTGAGCTATACTTCAGTGTAAATAACTTGGGCAAACTGTCATACATAAGGCAAATGCGCTGTTGGAAATGCTCTGAAATTGGTTGTCTTCTGATATTGTCAGTACTTCGCACAAGTCAAAAATTCCATGTGGGCCTGGTCCGGAGGCACAAGCAGTTAAGCGCGTGCACTGTGCTTTGGCGGTCCCGGGTTCGCAGGTTCGGATCCCAGGTGTGCACCGAAGCACCACTTGTTAAGCCATGCTGTGGCCGTCCCATATAAAGTAGAGGAAGATGGGCATGGATGTTAGCCCACGGCCACTCTTCCTCAAGAGAAAAGAGGAGGATTTGCATCAGATGTTAGCTCAGGGCTAGTCCTCCTCACACAAAAAAAATTCCATGTGGCTATCAAGACTAGGTCTGTGTAGATTGCCTCGCAGTGTTCAGACTTTCAAATTACAGTATTGTGATCTGTAGTGCAGAGAAAAGTTTGGCATTATGAGAAAAAGCAGGAGAAAAAAGGACTTTTAATTCCAGTATATATCTCTTGGTCTGATATAGAAAGTATATCATATATATATATTTAGTGTTTCTCTATATAGACGTCAAAAGATTTGGTATTCCCAAACCCAGGAACTCTATACAAATGGTGCTTCCTGAAATTGTGAAACCTGGTAGTCTGGTCTAGGATAGGAATTCTAATTCTTGGGGGTTATGGACCCTTTTGTGTTTGATGAAAGCTACAGATCCTGTCCCTAGAAAAATATTTAGATTCTCAAAATAGCCCTATGGAGTGTAAGGATTGTGGATAAGGAGCCTAAAGCTAAGACCTCAGTTGGCAGAATTGGTATTTGATGGCATGTCTGTCTGACTCCATGATCACGCTCTCCCACCATACCATAGTCCTTCAATTTCCTCAACATGGCAAACTAAGCCTTTTTAGAGCTCCTACCTGCCCACTTTGTCAGCCTCATCTCTTGTTCCTTCTCCCATGCATCCTAAGTGGAAGTCACACTAACTACTCATAGTAGTGTCGTGCTGACCTGTGAACACACTGTTCCGGCTCCCTGAATATCCTTTCTCACGTCACCCGCCTCGCTAATACCTCATTGTACTTAAGTCTCAGCTCAGATGTCACCTTTTCTAGGAAGACTCCCCTGCCCTCTTCCCTGCCACCTCCATCCTCTTGGATGCTCTTCCTCTATGCTATCATGTACCCTCGGCATACACCTGTCATAATTCCATTTATCAAGCTGCACCGTGACGGATGTCTACTTGTCTACTTTTTCCACTATTCTGTGAGCATTTCAAGGGCAGATACGTTTGTGTGTGTGTGTGTGTGTGTGTGTGTGCATCTGCACACGTGTGAGAGACAGAGAGAGAGAGAGAGAGAGATCTGGCTGAAGTGTTGCTAGTGACTCCAAAAAGTAATTTTTTCTTTTTGGCATCAAATATGCTCTCCTGCATAGCTGTGTGAAGATATATTTTTTTCCTAAGGAACTCTAACACATGCAATATTAATAGGACCATATGCTACCCCTCTCTCAGCACGGTAAATCACACTGATAATGCTGAAAAATGTATTCTTGTTTCAAGGGAATAATATGACCCCATTTCTCTGAACATGAATTCATGTTGCACTAGTCAATTGTTTCTTAGTAATATAGTTCTATTTATTTTCTTGATGGCTTAAGAGTGAAGAAAAACTTATGTTCAAAGTTGATTTTTTAACTACAAATTTCAAAGTAATTTAAAAACAGTAATCAAATTTAAATATATTGAGGTCTTATCATTTTTATATACATTGATGTTATTTCGCTAAGGACATAGTAAACATAAGTTAGCATCACAAAGATGAATAAAGTAGGAATGTAGAAATGAAAATCATAATTTAAAACAACTTTAAGAAAAGCAAATACATCTTTAGAAAAGAGAACGGAGTAGAAGGGCAAGGGCCAATGAAATTCTTGGTTCTTTACAGTACAAGACCTCTTTTTATTACATGCTGAAAATATTATGACTACTTAAATTTCTTCTTTTTTTTTTTTCCCTAGGCCAAATTTACAGATGACTGCAAGTTCAGGGAGCGATTTCAAGAAAACAGCTATAATACCTATGCCTCAGCAATACACAGAACCGAAAAAACGGGACGGGAATGGTATGTGGCCCTGAACAAAAGAGGGAAAGCTAAGCGAGGCTGCAGCCCCCGGGTTAAACCTCAGCACATCTCTACCCACTTCCTGCCAAGATTCAAGCAGTTGGAACAGCCAGAACTTTCTTTCACAGTAACTGTTCCTGAAAAGAAAAAGCCACCTAATCCTATCAAGCCAAAGGTTCCCTTTTCCACGCCTCGGAAGAGTCCCAACACAGTGAAATACAGACTCAAGTTTCGCTTCGGATAACGTTCATCTTGGCCTTGTGAGAAACCATTCCTTCTCCTCAGGAGTTTCTATAGGTGTCTTCAGGAGCTCTGAAGAAATGTTTTTGGACACAGCTTCAGCTATCCTACACTGTATTGAAGTCAGGTCATTTGTTTCAGTTTAACTGAAACAAAAGTGTTTTCTGATAGGAACTCAACTGGAATTCTTTCTACCAATATACGGAGCACACTGCTTCAGTTCAGGAAGACAGAAAGCCTTTTGCTTTATGCTTCGTACATACTAGGGCTCTGTATTTTCAGAAAGTTAAACAGCGTGGACTACGTATTTTTCTGATTTTTACAGATCAACCTAAAAGAACATACATGATACATTTTTATTTTTGGTTTCCAAAGAATATTTTGATGCAGATAAAATATTTTATTAACTTTTGTTTTTGGCTTTTTTGTTTTTTTAAAAAAAGTACCTCTGCATTGAGCATATTTTCTTACTTTTATTATTTTAATTAATATGACTTAACCATTTTAAGGCAGTTTATGAATTATAAATGTGTTTATAGCCCATTTGTAATATGTGGATTTCTTTTTCATTTTTCTTATTCGTTGCACTTTTTTATTATTATTTTTTTACCATACCTCAGATAATGTAAGTTTAGTTCTACATCATAAAATGTTTAAATTTTCATCAACAGCACCAAAGGCTCGACTTGGATTTGTGTGTGTGTGTGTGTAAATTCATGACATCATGTGGAATCCTACCCCTTTGGTGGCTGGGATCTAATGGGTTAGAAGTAAGGAGAAAACGTAAGGACTTTTTGATGAAATTAAAAGTTGAAGATAAGGAAAAAGATTAGAGGCACAAGTACACTACGTTTGCAGGCATTTATTGAGATCTAATTCTGCCTTGCCTTCACTTCTCCTTTTATCTACCCCCTGCCCTTATTCTTGAACAGCTGGAGGAATACATTTCATTCTGTCCATCAGGCATACTATGAAACTGGAGTGATTAAAAATACCTCTTCTATGACCCTCTGCTATCTTCACTGTATAGATCCACAGGGAGCAACCCACTTAACGGAAAAACACAGAGAACCGAAGGAGATGAATCGTGTAACAGCTATCCATGTCAAGCCCCATTGTCAAAAATATTCTTATTACTCGGCCAAACATGCTTTGAGTTTCCTATCCTGAAGGTAACTATTCCAGTGAATAGATCTGCCCTTTTATAAGGAAACTTTCTGATGTACATTAAAAAAATAGCTGGGCATGCGATATGGGAACTTTAATTTGGGAATTTGATGATTGAAAACGGCACTTAATTCTCAACCTAAATACCGAATGTTGGGCATAAATCACAGAAAATTTAACTTAAGGGAATTTGTATAAATTTATTTATTTTCTTGGGTAATCACTTCTATGGAATTCTGTGAAATACAAATGTTTATATTCAGAAGTGTGGCAATAAAAAAGGTATAGCTAATGTTTAGAAGTATGTTTTTCATAGGAAGAACAGAAGAGTTCATAGACAGTTTGTGGTTTGTATTTAAGCATGCTTCTTTTATTTTAAAGAATACTGATAAACTTTTTTTGCTTAAAACAAAGTATGGTTTATTTTGGTGCACAAATGCAAAGTGGAAACTTATCAAAATTGAACTTACTACCACTTAAACGTTGCTTTGTTTTAATAGTTACAAAATATACGCCTATATATTATATAT